CGGTACTGATGTTTAACGGGTTGGAAAAGTGACATTTTTGTCTTCTTTTTGAAAAATTGTTTGTGAAAGGAAATAATAACTAAAAATGAAAATTGTTTGACAATGATTAGTACAATGAATCTGGACGCACTGTTCAAAATCCTATCCGGATATATATAAAGAAAAAATATACAAGGAAAAATGTAAATTAGTGTTAATTTCTAAAAAAATTTTAATTTTAATTTTAAATTATATTAATTTATTTAATAAAAATTTATTTAAAAATTTAAAAATTTATTTTATTAAATATTAATATTTAAATTTAAAATTTTAATTTTTAAATATAAAATAAAACTGATTTTTTTAAAAGTGAATATTAATACGTATTAAATTCAAATATATATGTATTTAAATTTATTTTGAGATTGATATCCAAACGGTTTATTAAAAATTATAATTTTATTTTAATATAAATTTATTAAAATATTTTTAATAAAATATTTTTATTATAAATATTTTATAAAATTATCAATATAAAAATTTATAAAGTAAAATATACTTTTAATATGCCATAAAAAATATTTTTTTAACCAATTACATAGATTTAGCAAAAAATAAGAAAAAAAAAAAAGAAAAAAGAAAAAGATTAAGTACTAATTATTTGGAAGAGGAGGATACTACAGAATTTCAGTTGATCGAAAAAATTGGCGAAAATGGCTGCGGCTGCTTCTTCTTCCTCTTTACTGTTGAATCCTTTGACTTCTCCTCTCTGCAATTCCAAGAAATCATCCACAGACCCTACTTCGGAGACTCTGAGAGTGCGTCTTTTGGGTTCTGTCACTACTGCAGCTGCTCCTCTCAGATTGACGAGGCAACACAAGAAGCATGGGAAGGTGTCGTATTCCGGTCTCTCTGTTACCTGCAAAGCTGTGTCCGTCCCTCCTCAGACTGAGATTGAAGGTCTTAACATTGCTGAAGACGTCACTCAGGTAATTTCCTATTTTCTTGTTTTGTTTTTGCGATCTGATGAATGTTTGAGTGAGATTTTGAAGTGGGTGGGTTTCGTTTCTCACAATTATGACTCGGAATGTGATAATTTTGAAACTTTTTTTGTAATTTTTTTCTGTTGTAAGATTTTGGTGGAATTCTCAATTGGTTTTTGGATATGTTGATCAAGATGTTTAATTTGAGTTAGATTTGAATGCATTTTGTTATGATTGCTTGGAATGTTGATGTGAAAAGGGGACTTCTTGGAATCCATTTTCTAACAACCTGATTTGTTTCATTTCTGCTTTTCTGGTTATCAAATTGTTGTTATATTCTGGTTGTTTTGTGACAGCTTATTGGAAAAACACCGATGGTGTATTTGAACAATATTGTGAAAGGTTCTGTTGCAAACATTGCTGCCAAGCTTGAGATCATGGAACCATGTTGCAGTGTCAAGGACAGGTAGGGAAGATAAGCTGTTAGTGTAGGTAGTTATAATTTCTATGAAAATTTTGCAGATTGCAGTGATTTCTCATTGTGCTTGGATTCGAAAGAAGTTCCTTTTATTTTATGTCCTTTTAGACCATTGCTGAGTAGTAGTCAGAACTAACCAGTGCATCTTGCTGGTATTGCCATTGCTCATTGATATTTCTCTAGTGAAGAAAAGTAAGAAATTCATGATTTTCATCTGTGGTTTCAGGATAGGTTACAGTATGATAGCTGATGCTGAGAAAAAAGGAGTTATAACACCTGGAAAGGTAAGAACTCCGGTGTATGAGGAAACAAGAACTAGATATATAGGCAGTCTTTGTCCCTTCCTTACCATTTTTGACATTTGGGCTGAAATTTGGTCTTCTTGGATAAGTTAGCATTTATCCTTGTTGGCCACATTTGTTGAATAGTTCAATGGTCCATCTGAAGTATTGCTTTTAGCCATGGACTCTTATACCAAGACCAATCTGATGCCATTTTAGCTGTGTTTAACTCTCAATCATGCCTAAAACTATGGTTATGATGAGATACCATTAGGTACTCAGACATTTATGTCTGGTGTCAGAATTATCAAGGTAGGGCAATCCTGTTAGACTGGGTGTTCTATTTACTCTGTGTTTGCATAAATGCATGCACCTTAATATATCCCAAACCAATGACTGACCATCTTTAAATTTCACCACTTCGGATCTTATGTGAACTTTTGGTCCTGAAACCTGAATTTGATCTATCTATCTATGAACATTAATTTCCATCCATTTTCAAATAGTCTGAAGTGTAATTGGGCATGCATTCTGATGGAACTGGAAAGTTGTAATGTAATATGGTTCATTTGCATCTTTTGCACTATCGTATGTATATAATTGGTCATTACATTTTGAATTGTGGGCCTTGAAAGATCTCCATCTGTATTACTCCTTAACCTACATTCTTGTGTGGTAGTATTTAGTGCATGGTGTAACTTTTGATGGTAATAACATACTGTTATCTGATGATAAAAAAAAAAAAAAATTAACATATTGATGTCTTTTTCCTCAATACTTTAGAGTATTCTAGTGGAACCTACAAGCGGGAACACTGGCATTGGCCTTGCATTCATAGCTGCTTCAAGAGGTTATCGGCTCATCTTGACAATGCCAGCATCAATGAGTTTGGAAAGAAGAGTTCTTTTCAAAGCATTTGGAGCTGAGCTTGTTTTAACTGATGCAGCAAAGGGCATGAAAGGGGCAGTTCAGAAAGCTGAAGAGATTTTGAAAAGCACACCCAACGCATACATGCTGCAACAGTTTGACAATCCTGCAAATCCTAAGGTTTATGGTTAGATCCCCCTCCCTTTTGTTGTTGAAATTGACTGTGAACTGAAATGTATATCTATATATGTAGATACATTATGAGACAACTGGTCCAGAGATCTGGGAGGACACAAAAGGAAAAGTGGACATTTTTGTTGGAGGGATTGGAACTGGGGGAACAATAACGGGAGTAGGTCGGTTTCTTAAAGAGAAAAATCCTAAAATCAAGGTAATGAACTCCCACTTATAAGATCATCCTTGGTATTTTTGTCAATCCATGCCCTTCTGAACAATCTTCTGAACCATTTAAAATATCCTGTAATATATTTATTTTTTGAAGCATCAAAATCTCCTATAATATTTAAGATAGAAGGATGAGTGAATTTGTAGTGCATACGAGGGATTAGTCCTTGCCTCCTTTGCAGTAGCATCATTTGGCCATTCTCAGTTTTTTTTTTTTTTCTTTTTCTTTTTAACCTTTGAGATGCATCAGGTTGTTGGTGTGGAACCTTCAGAGAGCAACATACTTTCTGGTGGAAAACCTGGTAAGAGGATATAATTAATTATTAGCCATAACTATCTTAAAAGATATCCTTTTAAAGAGTTAGCATCTAATATTAACTTCTTTTCCATAAAAATACAGGTCCTCACAAGATTCAAGGGATTGGAGCTGGATTTGTACCACGGAACTTGGATCAAGAAGTGCTTGATGAAGTTATAGAGGTCCAAGTGTTTATTTTCCTTGTCTCTGTTTCTCCTTTCACAATTTTTGTTTTTCCTCAATAGGTGGCCTTATCATCGATTTTGTGTTACTATGAGTCAGTGAAAGGGAACTGATCTGTTTTTCTTATCTATCAAATTGAAATAGACAGAAGTTGGGGGATGGAATGAAAATGGTGAAATAAATTGGTTCTAGGTTCGATATTAATGTAAACTTTAAAATTAGAGGTTTTATTCATGTTATGATAGCAAGCTGTTATTTTATGACATCCATGTTCTGATATTTTTGAGTTTGACAGATATCCAGTGATGAAGCTGTTGAAACAGCAAAGCAGTTGGCACTGCAGGAAGGCTTGTTGGTCAGTTCTCTCTATTCAACTCTATAACCATGTTAAAATTTGCAGCAAAAGCAGAACTAATCCAATAGATGAAGCCTCTCCATAAATCTCTGCTTCCTCATCATACCACAAACCCATGGAACCATAACTAGATTAAGATTGGTAAAATGGATAGAAACATGAATAGAATCAAAGGAAGCCTTTTATCCTATTCTTCACCTGTATCATAAATAGATGAGAAGAAAAATACACAGAGAGAACACTTTTGGTGTTTTTGCTTACTCTCTTTGTTTGATTGTTTCTGCTACTTATATCAGGTTGGCATATCTTCTGGAGCAGCAGCTGCTGCTGCTATAAAAGTTGGAAAAAGACCTGAGAATGCTGGGAAGTTGATTGCGGTGAGTTCTTTTGTGTACATTGAAACTTATGGGGAACAAGTAAAATATGACCAGGAGTCATTCTAGTGGGATAATGGTTCCCACTTCCCACTATCAATGTTTTCTTGAACTTTTTGGCGTTAGCAATCCAGAAAATCAGTTGTTTTCATGTCTTTTTGTCTGAAAACCAATTAAATACTTTTTTGGTGGTAGTTAACACGCATCCATCTCATATGCGTTAGTCAACACCTTGGAGAGCATAAGCTGGAAATGACACCACATAAGCATATGAACATCCTATACACCATCCATCCTTTTATCCATATGATACTGACTTATTTGCAAATCAAAATGTTTTCAGGTAGTGTTTCCCAGCTTCGGAGAAAGATACCTGTCAACTGTCCTTTTCCAGTCTATTCGAGAAGAATGTGAGAAAATGCAGCCTGAACCATAAAAATCCCTTCTATAATTTATTGACAGGAGGAAACTATTTTTTTGGACCTTTGCTTTCCCTTTGTTAATAGTAAGTACACCAACTGGGCATATTTGTTTTGAATTTCCACTTCCACACTTTGTGACCTTACTAACCTTTAAGTGAAACTCCTGTATCTATGTATGATTTTCTTCTACTTAGTCTTTATAATTATAGCTCTCTGATTCAATAATCAATATCAGTTGAAATATGCAGATTCCATAAATTTTTAACAAATTATTTAAAAGAATGCTATAGTGAAATACAATGCAAGGTCAACTACACGTCAATTTTCTATTTTCTATTAAGAAAAATAGATTTTATTTTCTATATATTTCAGTCTTCCTTGACAGAATGAAAATGATAGTTTGGAGCTATATATATAATATTTTTAATTCTAATTTTTGGCTTCATTTTGATTCTAATTTAGGCTATATTTTAACTTTGGCAAAACCATAAGTTAAGCCCCTGAGCTAACCCCAGAATCACTATTAAGCGCCTAGACTTTAATTGATGCATATAAGCCCTTGAACTCTGGGATTAAAGCAATTAAGCCGTTCTTCTTACGCCAACTTAATTGTCCTTTGGAC